CGCGGAGCTTGCATGCCAAGTCAACTATTTGCCGCATGAATTGACCAATAGCCTATATTTTCTTTCGTTTTATAGCCACTGGTTGAAACTTGGATGATACGCCAATTCTGGAACGCGCGGGCCATACCCGAAACGGGGTCTGTTAATGCGGAGGATGGAACTACCGAGTTTCCATCTTCAACGTAGGATCCCTTCCGTTCCTTAAACTCCATACTAGTGTGCCTCAGATGCGAGACTTATATACCGCCAATTCCCGACTCTTGACCGTCGGATGAGATATGCGTTCAAGAATCTACTCGACTTAGCTTTAACACGGCATATTATTCAACATGATGAATCTGAAACTGTTGCTGCTTCTGGCGACTCCCACATTCGGTCACTGTAAGATTTAAAGTCCCACCTCACTTAATGATAACTAAGAAACCAACTGACAATTTCACCAATTCTCTTATTGTGCAGATTTCTTCCCCAACACTATCGTAAATGGGGTCAAATCAAGCGACTGGCAGTACATCCGGGACACTGAAAACAACCCCAACGCATACCCTATTGAAGATGTTACCTCTAGCCTGATGGGTTGCTTTGAGAAAACCGGGCGTGCCGCATCTGCCGTTCAAACCGTCGCTGCAGGGTCCAAGATTGGGTTTCACTCGAGCAACAGCATGGGCCACCCAGGGCCGCTTATATTCTACATGGCTCGAGTCCCCGATGGTCAGGACGTCAACTCATGGGCACACAATGGGAATGTCTGGTTCAAGATAGACCAATACGGGAATAAAGTCGGCTCCTACCCACCTTTTGAAACAGAAATGACTGATTTCTACACGACTATTCCGTCCAAGCTCAAGCCCGGCAATTACCTCCTCCGCGCAGAACATATCGGTCTGCATATCGCTGGCGCTCCTCAGTTTTACATTGCTTGCGCTCAGCTGCAAGTGACTGGAAGCGGAACAAGCACGCCTACAAGCCTAGTATCTTTCCCTGGTGCCTATTCTAAGAGTGATGCTGGTCTCACGTTCAACATTTACGCTGAGAATGGAGCGTACCCATACCCCGGACCGGCTGTGTGGACATAGGAGTGTCTTAGCAAAGAACGTGTCAATTCACGGGTGGTTTTGTCATTAGGATAACAAACCTTTCAATGCAACTCTTGCTTCAATGCTACTTTGTATGCTACATTTCCACCAGGATGAAAAGCTCTCTCCCCTCTTACGCTTCTCGCTTCTAGACTTGTCCGGGGTGACTATCATAATAGTCTGCATTAACCTTCGTTCGGGTAGTATCAAGAGTGATCCACAACAGCGTTGTTCTACCCACTCTATGCATTAAGCTCTTCTAGAGAAGCAACTCATTTCATTGTACATGGGTTTGCATATGCTCCCTTTTTGAAATCATGCGATATGGTTCTATAATAGCGGCGTATTGAGCTGTTCATGAAACACCAAGTAATGCTTCGTGCAGGTTATGCAACCATGTTCTCTCAACACACCTATCAACGAGTGGCAGGTGTACGTACATTATGCATGTTCTAGCCATTCACCGGAATTGCATGAAAGTCTGAAAACCCCTCACTTAAGGATCTTGCCATCAAATAATTGGAATTCCTGTCTAAGCCAAGATTTATATATCCTCCCTTGGAGTTACTCAGTTAGCGGCCGTCATAGCGTTGGCAAGTGTCCAAATCCTCCTACTCATTCTACCATGTCCTCTGCAGAACAAATTAAACAGGACTATAATAAGTCCGCCAAGTCTTATAACGATGCAAGTCATGTACCATCGATCACGCTGGAGTCTCAGCTCATCAAGATGGCTCTTGGTGACGCTTCAGGACTGACTGCGTTGGACTTGGGCGGCGGTGCAGGCCTCCATGCACGTGAAGCAATTGAGCTCGGTGCGAGCCGTGTGGATATAGTTGACTTATCCTCGGAAATGCTCAAAGTCGCCCAAGACGTGGAGGAATCAATTGGTCGCAAAGACCGCATCCGTTGCTACGAGGCCAATGTTGCCAAGCCGATGGATCACCTTCCTCTGGATAAGGAATACGATATTGTCATGGCTAATTGGATTTTTGACCACGCTTCCAGTATTGAAATTCTTGAAGGAATGTGGCAGAATATCTCCAAATACCTGAAGCCTGGCGGCATCTTTGTCGGCGTACGTGTTGCCGACCTACACGGGCCAGCCGCAAGTGATGGAAAGTACGGAGTCTCCATGCAAAATCCCAAGCCTGTCCCTGGAGGCTTCACATATACCACAATTGTCCACGCGGACGACCCTTGGGATTTCCAGGGTACATCATTGGACATGAGCCGCTCAGGTTCGTTTGAACTACATGAGAAATACGGCCTGGAGGACATTCGGATCATGCCACACGAGAAGGCTGAGGCTATGCAAAATGATCCGAGTTTCTGGGAGCTTTGGCGGCAGAGGCCGGTCTTTGCGGTAGTCCGTGGCACCAAGAGGGTTCAAAATTAGTTTGAGAGCTAGTTCTTCTGTATATGTCATATAGCTAGTCTCATCAGACACAATTCCGACAGGCCAACGTGGGAAATACGTGCTTGTTTCGAATGGAATGATTGTAGACAGAGGCATGTTTTATACACTCCTAAAGTAAACGGCATTCGCATGGAAACTTTTAGGTTGGGCCTGAGCAGTCTCTAGTTTAATTGAAAGAAAAGCTGGGCCTTTTCAATAGATAAATACGTATGAGCTTGACCTCTGCGACACTTCGCCCTGAGTTTCAGGTTGACTCTCTTTTTGCTCAGATATACGCGTAGCATGTCAGAAACTAGACGGGCAGGCAGTGTCATTGTAATACAGGGCTGAAGGGAATACGCGAACTCAGAGTTATTTTCTCCGAGTTATTTTGACTCTCATCTTCATTCAAGCACGTTGCATAAACTGCTCATAACAAAGTAAGCATATTGTTGCTCACGCCATATCCTACCTCCCCTGGCTGCCCATTGGCCTACGCAAGGCGTAGGTTGCAGCCAATAGCCAACATCGACTCGTATTTCCATGCTAGAATGGTTAACGCTTGTCTACTATAGCACCTACTAATAGTGGTGCCTGAACGTTCACAGCATACATATTATTGCAGGCACCGCCAATTTACGGTCTTCAGATGGTTCTCCTCTTACCATTCGGATCTGTATGATGAGCGAACCTTTGTATTTAGATTTGTGCTCCATTGTAGCTAGCGGGTGGATAATTGGAGCCGGTATGAACCAGCTGAAGAGAATTAATTTGCAAAAGCGAATACGTTCTGTTTTTAGAAACAGCCCATGACAGAAATAGCAGGACGCAGTGTTTGAAAGGGAGGGATGGCTGAAGGACTAGGGGAGTACATATGACGCAGCTGTACATATTCCCAGGACCATACCCTCGGGTCCAATAGCCAGCCGGTTGTAATCAAAACCGGGAAGACCTTGATGATCTTGCACAACAGATGGTGCCGGGACTAACAACAATATCTGCGTTATGGTCTCGAATGGCTAAGTTAAACAAGGACCTTCCAGCCCCCCAAATCCCTAAAAATAGCCCCCATTGCTAAAGCCGTCCGGATCACTAAAGCCGTCCAGATTGCTAAAGCCTAGCTCTACCATTCCAAAAGTGTTATGGACGCCCCAGGGCCATTTGGATGATTTCAGGGGGGGCTGTTTCCAAGGGGGCTCTGAAAGCTCCCTTTCAACCCAGTCTCTAGTTTCACTTCGGGTATGAAATGTGACCGAGTAGGCCGAGAGATAGATGATGTTATCCTAGTTTCCTCTAGCCCACTGCCACGCGTACTAGCTCACAAACAACGCGGGAAAGGGGAAGAATAAGCAAGCTAGCAGTGATGGAATTTCTTCGACCCATCTGGAGAAGCACATACCATCAGACCTTGGTTTAATAACGGCAATTCAAAACAGGGTCCCTGTGGGGATCAAAGGGCAGTGGTACGGCCGCATCGCAGTAAGCTGACCAGGCCAGTAACGAACCAGGTTTTGTTCTCCCAGTGTGTCATGATTTTGCGTTGATCCTAGTTCACCTAAACCTGGTCCGGTAGATATTTGCCTCTTAGTTACCTCCGCCGGCAATGAAGAATTCTTATTGCCGACCTTCCCGATTCAGTCAAAGCTCTTACTTCAACCTCAGTTGATCAAACGGAAATCCCCGTTCGATGTTCATGGGCTGAGAACCTAGCCCGGCAACTACTCGTGGGGAAACAGAATACCATGAACCCGTGAGCCAATCCCTCTAAAAGTACACGAACACAGGGGTAAGAAATGTGCGATCAGGCCGAATACTCCTCCATCTAGGCAGTTTCTTTGTCAAGTCAGACCTTGAATGCATAACAAGACCCTTTCCGCACCACTTCATCTTAATACTTATGCAATGCAAAATGGCTTGTGAGCATTTGCTTCCCCACGCGACTCTGCATGTGAATGCTACCGACGAAAGGGCTCCCTAGTTAATTTCATTCTGCGACAAGTCGTCACTCTCTCCGTAAGCACTACAGGCGGAGTCGCAGAATCCTCCTCCGCCATCAAGCAATTTCTACTTAGCAAAGTCGCCAGGTCAGCAGAATATCCTGTTGGCCTGTGCAACTCGTCGGTAAGCTAATCCTGCAAGATCTTTCGCTTGAAATAGTAACGTGATTCGGTTGCTCCCCGGGGCTCGCTCGAAATGAAGCTATCATGTCCGTCTAATAAGTGTTACAGGCTAACGTCAAGCGGCTGGACTGCTCTCAAGTCATGACGATCCTCCAAGGAACCCTGCGTCCATAAGCAGTTGGGATTTGCCCAGTAGCCTTGGCATGAACATAGAAACCCAAGAAGTAGTAGGTTTTAATAGAACTGTTCGGTAAATCTGACAGGAACATTCAAGTATATAAGGAAGCATTCAACGGCAGGAAAATTGCATCTTCTCTCTCATCGGTTCATTCTTATTCAGCCATTCTAACTCTATTCCGAATTCTACCTTTCGACTACTACACTTTTCGAGTTACTGCTATCAAAATGCATTTCACCAAGACCCTTGTTTCTCTCTTTGCCCTTGGCTCTTTTGCCTCGGCCTCCTCCTCCGAGGCCGATGAGTCTGTAGGGCTCGCCGCCCGCGAGGCTGAGTTCCTCCAAGCCCGCGCCGAATACATCGAGGCTCGCGACAACTACATCATAGAGAAGCGTGGCAGCGTTCCCTCTAAGCCAAAGAAGTACAAGGCAAGTCAAGCAATTTCAGTGTAATTTGAATGATGCTTTTACTAACTTCAGGACTCGTAGGCCCACCAGGGTGTCTGCTTTGAGAGGGTATGCAAGGAGCAGTTCAACGGGAGAATGCGCGTTTGTGGCGATTGCAAGGTACGAGATGGGAAAAGCTGCACTTGCCAGTACTAGACGAGGCCTTCGCCACTACCGAGAGCAGGGTGGCTTGCCTGTGTGAAGGGGCGGGGGTGATATGTGGCAAATGCTAGAGTGGCATGGCGACGAGGGCCTGGTGCCGTTTTCCCGACTTGCCATCAATGGATAGCTATAATACTCAATATACTGAGAATAGAATATTCAGAAAGCCCCTCGGGACCACCAGATAAATTCAGTCTACTTTGGTTGCCCATGTATTCTGCACACTGCTTTCCAAACTCCGTAAAGTTTCAACGGATTGAAGTTGAGTTTGTAGTTGGTCGAGCTCTCAGGCAACCCCACCTAAGGATCTCCTGAACATGCCATTACGTCTTGCAGACGACTACTGCTTAGGTCACAGCTAGGCTAGACGACTATCCTTTTACTAAGAAAGGAGTATAGGCCCCATAGAATTGTCTAGAGGTGTTGTCCTTGTACCCCAACTCAACCGTTAATTTCAAAGCTTTGCTTGAAGAGTTGGTAACTTGGCAACAGCATCTAGAGAAAACGGGTTTGACTGCACTCACTATGGATACGGATATAGGGATAAGAGGGGTTCTTGGCGACTGGTTCGGGGCCTCCCCGGAAGACGTCAAGCATATTTGTGTTTCTTACGTCTTCTCACCAGATTCCTTTCATAAGAACGAACAAGAACGATATATATAGGACCAAAGGAGCCCAAATACAATCAATAAGAGTCAAAGCTTCACCTATCTCAATGACGGACCCAAGGATTCCTAGAATATATTCGCTGAGTACTATATCACGCTGGGTCTAAATGGATTAGTTAAGAAATCAGAGTGAATTAAGCGCAAAAGCCGAGTGTATCGTAGTTCGATCTCAGTGTGCGTCGCAACGCCCAATGACTCTGTATTTCGTAACCCGCCCTGTTTCCAGCTTGACTAAGAAAATAGCCTGATAACAAAACATATATCACATGGTTGGCTCTCTAAAAGTCGTCCACATGGTGTGCATTCTCGACACTTGACCTGGAGTGAAACCAGTCTGGCAATCATCATCCGTCAGGTCCACTAGAAGGTTTGTTAGTCACGAGCCTGATTCTTCCGGATTCTCTTTGCAATCTGCTCACTATAGTTATTAATCGAGTCAACCCCCGGGAGATCCGGACAGCTGTCGGCGCCTACAGGGCACCCATAGTGATGGGTACTCTGCGCAGGTGTGTCGTCGACTAGGTCACCTTCAAACGAGAGTTAGTAAACGTTATTGAGATCGGGGAATGTCTTTCGTGTGGAATGAAAATTTACGTACCATCATCCCCACAGGCGGAACTCCAAACATGCAGCAGCCTAGGTGTACAAAGTCAGCATAAGCTTGCAGAGAGTCTCTTGGGCTCGTATCAGGTAACCACTTGCCCAAACCAGTGTCCGACTTCATGGACAGTCGCTAAGCCATCATGCTTGCCAGGACGAGATCCGCCTGGCACAGTGTTTGAGACAACCATACAGCCGTCCAACATAATCATTCGTTCCTTTAGACCCTCTGTACCTTCGAAATTTGTAAGATTGAGTGGGTAAGAACATTGGCCAAAGTTGGTTGGGCCCATGTTCTTGAGAAAGTACAGGTTAAGGTCATGGTACTCGCCCTTGTGAAGAGTCATCAACATGTTTTGTCTATCCTCTCCATGGGCCCATGCTTCACTCTCGATGTATTCAACGTTCTTTACGTTGTAGTGGTACGAGTGGCGCCCAAAAACTTCATTTAACACAGCCATCTGCTGGTCTAACTGATCTACGGTGACGTATCCTTCTTCTGCGGTGGTACCATTGCTGACCACGTGGATGTATGTATCAATCTCAACTGTCTGTCGAGAGGCTAGTGAGAGATCTTCTGGGCGTGTCAAAGAAGCCGCTCTCTTGTACATGTCCTTGTGTTCAGGCATAAGCGTGGTGCCGCAACTGGCAAGAGCGCCAGCAGCCAAGGTTGCCAATCCAAGCAAATTGAATGCCATAGCGAATTCTCTGGTTGGGGGTGATTCAATGATAACGACGGGAATATAGTCTGAAGAGTGGCTATAAGTGGTTGCTTTACAGAACGAGAACGACAAAGCCCTCGACTAATAAATAATTACTGTTCCCGAGAGCTCCGCGTAATCGCTGTTAAGCAAGGATCGCAAACAGGGGCTTAATCGGGCAATTCATGTTCTCGTATTGCACCTATACGGGCTTATCCCAGACAACCAGGGTTTCGCTGATTATGATGGTCCTTTGCTTTCCAGCCTGTACCACGCGCAGAATAGGAATAGTTCTCTTCCGAGGTCTATAAAGGCGTGATCGCTAAAAGCATTATAGTTATATAACTCTCGATAGTCAGTTATACAGATAGTAATAATTTTCAATCTTCAAGTCAAAGCTGCATCCACGATATCAAACATATCATAGTAAAAGTACTTCGGGTTGAAGCTTCAACTTGAACTTGATAGCCAGAGGGTCTAGTGAGGGGTTATGGCGGTGAAAAACGATACACTATAGCCTAGGGAAACTTCATTCGCGTTAGAAGCTTCGGGGACTTAATAGGAAGGTGTCATACTATAAAGGGCATACTCCGGAGAAAGCTAGGTAAAGATTTTCTTTTGCCAAGGGACTTAATCATCACAGAATGTCAACAGAGCCCAAGGAGGGGTCCTCCAGAGGATACATGGAGCAGAGAAGAATTTATAACCGAATTAAAAACTATAGGACATACAATCAGCAGCTTGCATAACTTTTGGCTATAGATTAGCGGAAGAACGACGAGGATCGATGTAACTAGGCTCGCCCGTTGGGTAGCAATGGCAATACCCTGCTCAGATTCCAAGCACTCTTGAGGCTGGTTCTTGGCACTTCAGCTTAATCCGGCAATGCCGAGCCCTTGCTATCGCGACCGCTGTTCCACGCGGTTGAACTCCTCCTTACTCCGTATGTTCGACATAGCTTCCCAGCGGTGGATATTCATCAATGAATAGATCTATTAGTCGGCGAGAGGCTCTTTCTGGTTTTGTCTAGACTAGATATTCTAAGTAGAAGTGAGTCAAATAGCCGCCCCTCCACCAAGCTTCTTCTCAATCGCCACCATCTCGGGTGTACTCTTAGCCTGCACCATTCTTAGGTCGTCGGTATTGTGAAGTTGCGAAGTCAGCAGAGTTTTCTGCTGGCCTAAGCAATTTGTCGATTAGCCAATCCTGCAAAAATCATTTCGCCTAAAAATCTGAGTGTCTCCAGATTGTGGAAGTGATAAAACTATCCCGGCTGGACCTTGTGAACTTAGGTAACTGAAAAGCTTTAGCATGCTTCGGAGACCTATCAAACATGTATAGCACAAGAGACTAATGCACAACTCTGAAAAACTACATTGTCTATAGTCAGTTTTCTGCCTATAAGATATCTTTATTCCCCCTTCTGCATTTTAATAGCGAGTATATAGACCATTTAAGCATTGGAATAGCGTGATTACACCCGTGAGTTCTGTATTAGGTAGATGTTTTGCAACCACTCGTACACAGGAGCCATCAGTGCTTTCCTGTACTAAATAACATGCTCGATCGACTCAACAAGATCCACTGTTAGGGTCAACCCTGTAATAAAATTAGTTGTATTCATTCAAAAAAGCGAGCCGTAAGTGAAGGAGATGCTTACCGGTAGCGCCAGTTTCCGTAGGTGGTGTCACCTCCCTTGGCGCAGTTCTTGATCTCCTTGTCAAGGCCATTGACACACTCATTGAAGTCCATATTGCGAGTTGAACCAGCATTGTGCCCTTGAAGTCCAATGGTATACTTGACGGATATTCTCCCGACGGCACGACAATAAGTACGGACTTCATTTTTCTTGTATGTACCCTTGAAGGGCCCCGCGCAGAGATCCCTGACCTTCTGGTAAGTCTTGGGCATGTCGTCAAACTTCTCGCCAGAAAGAAAGCAGCGTCGAGTCTCGAGATTGTTCACAAGATCGTCAGGGTTAACGATGGATGCGGGTTCGGGGTCAGCGACAGCCGCAGCTGATACCAGGCCGAGGGCATTCACAGCAAAGAGGATGATAGTTGAGCACTTCATTTTAAGAGAAGTGGGTGGGAATAGGTAAGTGTAAAAGACGATGGAATGTGAAGGTACAATGTTTGATGGTGTTACTTTTCACTGTTGTGAGGGAGGCATGAGCCTTTTATAGCTAATGTCCTACTCTAATACATGAACCATTAGGTACTATATGACTTCGTCCAGGAGTGGAGTAATATCAACCAAATAGATAAAGCAAGCAGATAGTCATGGTGTCCACATGATTTGACTTAAGCCAAGACTATAAATTTATACAGTATGAAACAAATATAGCTAAAATCTTATGAGCTGATGTACGTTCCAGTTGTGATGAAATGGTCTCTTAGCAGTCTTGATCTGGAAGAAAATCACCCACATGATTATATGTCTCACTTGCAGGCAGTTTAGATTTTCCTCCAGGTCATAGCTCGGTGTAACTACTGCCAGCTAGAATTCTAGTTCTGGGCAAATCTTGGCGATCCAGAGTACGAAATAATCGCTCACATGATCATATGTTTTATTCCTTAGCCCTGTAGTTCTTTTCTAGTTGGTACATTGTATCAGCAATATGAGGCTACAGCTCGCGTGATTGCGCCAAGAAGTCTATCGCAACCGCATTGGTCTACATTTTGCAAAAAGTCATATCAGCATTCCAGACAAGTCAACCCCTTATGGCTTGGATGGACCGCATTTCAACTAAAGAACTATTGTTCAATCCACTCAGCCACCATACTGGATGGGGAAGCAAGGGATGTACAAAAGATCAAATCCGGGAACAGTGAGAAGAAGGGCCTGATATGTTATTGCCATACCCAGTGTATTTTCGATTTAGCCAGGGTTCCTTTTGTTCGTACTGGCCACGGGGGGTTACGTTGATATGGCAGTGCGCTTGTTTGAATCAAGTGAAGTAGGTGTTTCGGAGTTCGTACCAAGGAATTCCAATATTTTTGTAAGAGAGAGTAGAAATCAACAGCAATGAGAGCTGCCAGGACCCGACAACTCAACACACTAAATACGAAAAGCAAATAATATAGCATTTCCTAGCAAAAGATACAGTCATACGGCAGGAAAATGCTATGGACCTTCATACCGATTCCATTATCTTCATTAGATCATCTTCCAAGATACCATCACAATAGCTCCTTGCCTACTTCGACTTGATGAGAAGCGAAGTCAGTACGTCTGTCATTCGCCCATAGCCCAGACTCGCATGACCTTCTTCTTCCAGTCGATGATAAGCAGCTGGATGTATCATCTCCGCTGCTTGGTCGGCCATCCTTACAGGAGAATTTGCATCGAGCACACCATGCCACATTATAAGTCTTTTACCATCTACCTGGGTCAGAGGAAATCCCCAATCACTGCCAAGAATACCGGCGTCAATCGAGGTTCCCCATCCCGACTTTCTCTGACTCTGCCGTAACGCTTCAACAAGCGTATCAGCCCAAGCGGGATCCTTCAGTTTCACACTCAAGAGGTCTTTATCCACCTTTGGCCCCGAAGCAACCATTTGCTGCTTGATCTTGGCCGCAAACCGCTCCGGGTGGTCCAGGTCCCTCGCCCTGTGGCCAACTTGATGATCCACGACGGCCGCAGTCACGCGCGGGAGCCATTTCCCTCCCCAGAAGAGCGCCCTGCTCAGAAACAGTAAACCCTGAGCCCCGAGATTCAATGGATACACGCCGCATACCGTCGCTCCGATCTTGAGCCTCTCCTCTGGGATGGCGCTCAAGCATGCCAGCGCGTAGGGCCCGCCGCCGGATACGCCCAAGACGCCGAATTCTTTGACTTCAAGGTGCTCTGCCAAGGCTAGCACGTCGTCCGGCCAATTGGTAAGTTTGCGGTTCTGCTGGAGGGTGGAATGGCCCATTCCTGGACGGTCTATTGCGATCAGCGGTACGTCTAGAGTCGTAGCTGTGCCGTCCCAGAGTGCGCCCTCGATCCTGGAGGAAGGGAAGCCATGGAAGTAGAAGATGGGGATGTGGGTTGAGGTTGTGAGGGACGAGCCGTACGTGGCGTATGACAAGGTGCGGCCATCCGGAAGAGCAATGGTAGAGGGCTTGTGGGAGGTCATGATACGATGCGAAAGAATGGTTCACGGAGAGCTTGTGCGTTGCATGATAATAAAGAAGGTAAAACTCGACCGTCTGGTCGAGGATGTTTATATATACATTACTGGATGGAACAGCCCCGTGATGTTGAGGTATAATGCTCCGTCGGGTGATGCTGATATGGAATGCATTTCGCTTGCACCAATCTTCGGTCGTCGTCGTGTCGGTCGTATCGCGAAGCAGGGGGGCATCAATGCTTGCAGGGGATATCACACCAGACTGTCATTGACGGAGGGTATGGCCAGTCACATTCACCATTTGTATGCGATACAAGACACTATTGGCAAGGTGCCCAATACTCGGGCTAGGTAATTTGGGCTGAGATACGATGCGACAATCAGACGCTCAAGGCAAGGAGAAGCACGGTTCTAAATCGTAGAATTCATGTAATAATAATATCTAAATAATAGGTCTAGTAGAAGTGAAGAACAAAAGAAACGAAAAAGGCAGATGGTATCCTATGTCCTAAAATGCTACGCCGCTTGAACTCCAAAAAATGCAATCTCATGAGAGGGTGAGTCGATTATCCTGGCTGAGCCAGTCGAAGTCGCCAATCTGGTAGTCCTTGGCAACATTGGCATCCCCCTTGACGGGCTCCTCGGTCACCGGGAAGTTGTAGTGCTCTGCGCCCGCGTCAGAGCCTGCGTCGCTGCAGAGGTCGGAGTTGTAGTCTGAGTCGTCGTCGGAAGACCTCACGTCGAACTCTGGGCAGTCATCGCCAATCTCGCTGGTATATTCAGAGATTTGGTCATCTTCAAGAATGGTATCGGCCTGGAGTGGTACGACGATCTCCTGCACTGGCTTCAGCGCCTCGACTGGGATGGAGTTCCTGATCGAGCTCCTCATTGAGCTCCTCATAGAGCTTCTCATAGAGTTTCTCATCGAGTTCCTCTGGGCCGAGTACGACCTGCCGTGGCCAAGGTTCTCAATCTCTAGCTTGTAGGCCTCGCCAATCTCAGGGTTTGGCTTGATGATGATGTCCTCATCACTGTGGTGGATGGCGGACTCCATCCTGTTGAACCACCACACGATGCTCCCGCGCCATGGGTAGACCTCCCACCAGAGGCCGTCTTGGTCCTCAGCGGGGAGGACGGATACCTCGCCGACGTAGCGGACACCGTTCAGCTTGCTGATGCCCAGGAAGAGACCCCAGGACTCGGTAGTTTTGAGAGGCTCACCGGCGCAGTCGAGGCGGAAGCTACCGACCGTGGCTTCAAAGCCATTCTGGTAGCGGAAGAGCAAGCCGGTGATTCGGGAAATGGGGCTGTTGTTCATCCTGCAAGGGACAATCTCCTTCACCTCGTCGAGAGAAGCAGCGGAGTAAAATAGAGTGTCTGGTCCGGAGTGGACAGACTGGAAAGAGGGGGCTGGAGCGAAAGTAGCGTGGACGGGTGGCAGTCCATCCGGTTCTTGCTTGCGCTTAGGCCCGACAATGCGGGTGACGGTATCACCGTCGGCGGTGAGATAGTCGACCCAGATGCGGTCAGGTTCCGTGCGGGAGGGTTTGACAACACAGCTCCAACCGTTGCGATGGAACTCGGAGTCGTCACTGTATGGTCCGACGAACAAGGTTCGGCCCAGAGAGGTTCGGAACTGTCAAGTCAAGTTAGTAGACTGCTACGTGGGATGGATTGGGGGGAGGATGAGATATCTTACCGCAAAAGTAATGTCAAAATAACCACGGCCCCGGTTCCTCCACAATTCGTTGACACGCTCACCGTTGTTCAGAGGCACGTAGGTCCAGAACAGCTTCTCGTCGTCGTGGACAGTGTCATTGTAGAAGTCGAGGCTCTCGCCAGGCCTATGGGCGTGGATCTGGAGCACGGCGCCCTTCTTCCTCTGGGTCGCTGACCACGTCCAGCAGATGGAGTATCCTGTGCAGTCGTCTTCGTTGAGGGTGACCGGCAGCAATCGCGAGACAGGCATCTCCCAGTCCACGTAAAGGAAGGACATGTCAGCGAGGTCCATTGGCGAAAGAGGTTCGGACCATGAGCAGTTCTTGAAGAGATTGTCGCAGAGAGCCTTCTGGAGTTTGATGCCCTGCGGACTGTCAGTATGTACAAGACTAGAAGAATAAAGGGAAGGGGACTCACATCCGAGCTGAACTCAAGCATCCCATCGTACGTGCCGATGGGATAAACACGCCACCAGGTCGTGCGGTCCTTTGGATCGTCGTACTTGGGCGGGTTCTGGGAGATGTGGATTTTGCGTATTCCGAGGTGGTCCTCCATTATGTACAGTCCGTCGTGAGGCGACCTGTGCTTGACATTAATTACGAGTTTGTTGTTCGCTCCAGGCGAGTTCGTGAGGCGCGAGACGTATGTGCGGCCGTCGATGGTAACGTAGGTCGCGTAGATATTATCGGCCAGGCTCACATGCGAGTTGCCCGTGTATTCGAGGTTGAGCAGACTGCAGATGGCGTATTCGTGCACCAGCTCCCCAGCGATCTTTGTCCAGATGTCGAGCGGAAGACGATCCTTCGCGTCCATGGCCTTTTTCAGCGCAGGCGCGAGGAGCCTCTTGGTGCGCTGGAGTCGCCGCGTGTCCTCAGCCTCGCCGGGGGGCTCGTACCAGTAGATGCTAGACGTCAGCAGTCGGCCCTCCGGTCTCTTCATCTTCTCTGGTTCTGCCATCTCGCCCGCCGGTCCAGCCGCTGGGTTCTCCGCCGGGGAGGTCTCGTCGACGGTGGCCCGCATCGTCGACTCGTGGAGTCGGTGGAGGTTGTTCTTGAAAGACGCGTCGTCTACCGTCAGACCGGAAAAGTTGTCGTCGCCCGCGTCGACCATGCTGGCCAGGGTGTCCTGCTGTCGAATAAATGCCTCGAAGGCGACCGATGGCTGCAGGTGGCCGAACATGTCGGTGCATTTCTTGTGGCAGGCGATGGCTCGTTCGTCGGCTCGGATCCATCCGAATGCTGCTGAGCAGCACCAGATGGGCCTGTTTAGCTCTTCGTCGAAGTGTCGCTCATCGAACCAGTACTGGAAGGGGGCCGACAGTCGATAATCCGAGGTGACTGGGAGTCCGATCAGTAGGAGTCCTTCGAAAAGGGGAGAGACTGGGACTTTGGAGACATACCTATGATAGCATCATCGCCCTCCTCGAACTTGTAGCAACACAACCTGCAGCGAGGGAAGACGCACAGCGTCCCTGGATAGCACTCATAACCCCACCCGGGGGCTGGCTCTGCCGGAGTCGACGGGATGATGGCAGTCGAGACGGTAGACAAGATGGCCTGCATCTTTGCGCTCTCACCGGACACTCAATTATTCACAGAATATTGGTATGCCAAGTACCGCCTCAGAGAGGGAGGGCGGGCGAGCGAGCTTAGATATATCAGCACGCTGCCAGGTTGCAGCAGAATGGGGCTCGGACCGGATCAACACCCTCGACATCCGCCTCTCATGGGGGCCGATCAAGCCAGAGACACGGACAAATCAGAGGGCCAGATCCCAAACCTGTTTCAGAGGCTCCCAGTTCGCCTTCTGGAAGCCCCAGCAACGCGTGTGGTGTTCCCTTCTCCAGACGGAGGAGTCCCACAAGACACATGCTGGCAGTGCAGTAATTATTCTGGTCAGCAGCATCCTCCGTCGTGGGCTGGGTCAGCGCCAGTCTCCCTGTAAACCTTGTCAGCAGTGGCAAGCATTAATTAATTCAGACTCCCCCGGCCTTGCCTGTAGAGCAAAAGGATATGGACTTCAATGCATGCACTAACATGACCTCAGCCTTTGGACTCCCTGGCCTGCATCTCGTGTATCATCCAGACCGACTGACTCACTAGATAAATCTGATTCATCAATCCAAGCATCAGGCATGAATTGATTTGGCTTGTCTGCTCAAGGTGTGCTGACTGGAACCCCAGCCCGGGCCCAATTATCATCAAATCGTCAGTGCACTTCAAGCTCCGCAGCCGAGCGATGTTTATTGTGCATGAACCAGGAGAATAAAACACAGCTTCACTCTTCTAGAGGCAAATATCCGTTTCTCATGCACAACTATCAATTGATGAAACTTATACCCTCGTCCACGGTTCCAAGTTCGCTCCCGCGCGCGAAGAATGGCGAGATTCTCCCACCACAATACATACAACGTTCCCCCAACCCCTGTTGCTTTACGCCCATACCAAGAAATACGTAGTTAGGTATGGGAAACTTGTCTGAATCTTCACCGCTTTCACCTGGACATTTACATTGCCTGCGATGCGGCGTTATGCCTGCCTCGATTGTGCCGCAAACCCTACCCGCCACATGCAGCGCGCATCGCTAAGAATTACCTGGAATGATGCCCATCGCAAGAAGCCCACTGTCAGCTTGTTGCGAGGAGGCCGTGCAGATTAAACGGTGTAGGCTGTGCTATTATTAGGGCAAACATCCATGGTTCAACCGGGCGATCCGATGCCGGCCATATTTGTTAATTCTTCCCATGTCCAGTGCCGGCCTCATACAGCAAGACGAAATGATACTCCTACAATCATTGTCAAATCTTTCAGATTCCTCCCGGCGGCCCGTATTTAGTGCATTTGAGACTATATCAAAAATTCTTATATCAGTAAAACAAGGAAAAGAAGGACATGCATGGTGACTAAATTCCAGAGTTGGGTGTAGACTAACACAAACCCATGCCGAAACCTTCAAGTTGGAGACCAAATGTTTGAATGTTGTCCGTTCCATCAGCCACAGTTTTTGCAATAATACTTATTGTAGTTCAATAAGGTAAAGTAGTATTTCATTATTTAGTTTAGTCCCTCCTAACTACGAAAAGGGCATTATCAACCTCCTTTGCGTGATGCCATTTTGCCCGTTATTGTTGTTATTATGTGGTACAGGGTAGGCGCGTATCACTTGTTACCAGTCGCGTCAGTGTAGGGCAGTGCTCAATCATGCACAACACACAGAGTTAAACTGCCAATGACGCAATAAAATCCAAGCGATCTCCCAGCGGCTGCCATGTCATTGTTTCATGTTGAATTGCAACGCCTGAGATGGGATGACACGTTGCTTGGCGTGCACAGATGCCTGACCAAGTGCCGGGCTCCTGAATTTGCCACGCTTCCCGGAGCCTCCATCTCCCAACGGAGCAGATCAGCCCAAGATGGACGCAAGGAACCGTGGCTGGAATTACGATCTGCGAATTTCTCTCTCTTCCCTCCTTTCTTTGAAGTTAGACCGTTAATCATCACGCGCTTCATACTTCCCTCCCGACTTCCTAAAGACTTGAGGCCAATGTAACTCATGATGACGCTGTACCCCCTATAGTCTCTGGAGTTACAGGGCCTCAGCGCGTCGGCCCAGCGCTTGAGTGAGCACATCACTTGTCAGTTCGACGTGGTTTGACCGTATCCCGGATTCTTCACAGTCGGTAAAATAAAGCATGGTGCTCCTTATGACATACAAGATTGAGATCTATCTACAATTGTGATTTTTTGCATCCCACATTAACCACGGGGTCAATCCAGTCCACATTCGGCTGCTCCCCCTCAGCCGTCATGAAGACACTCCGAGGTCTTGCGTACGGCAGCGCCTGCTCCCTATCCCACACCAGCGTGACATTCCCATCGCGCTGAGCCTGCTCGTTATTTCCCGGACCCCTCATATTGTACAGCGCCATGGTCGTGTTCTTGTCGAAGTTACCTCCACCCCACGTCGTGTACCCTGCAGGAAGGGCCGTCTCATCTAGGTAGCTGTTCATCATCAGAGACCGATGCAGCGAGTTCCAGGGCCGGCCTAGGGAGCATTTCCCCTTATAGTCCTGCAACACAGTCGTGTTTGTGGCAATGATGTTGGTGTCTGCGATGTAAACGCCGTACTTGTTTAGGAACGTGGTGTTGGTCCCTTTCCAGGCCGTGATGCCGCCGCCGCAGCTGCGTAGTAGTAGAGTCGACTTGTCCACAAAGAGAGTGCCAAAGCCGTAGAGGAAATCAGTTTGGCCCGCAATAACGGAATCATACATGACCGAGTTACCCTTCTTTCCGATATAGACCTATTATTGTTAGGGAGGATAAGCAATGACTCTGTGGAAGAGGTCTCACTCACCGTGTCTTGGTAGCTGTAGAAACCACACGAATAGAAGCCCGTGTTTGCATACCCAACTGCGACAGCATGGGCAGGCCCAGCAGCACGGGGGGCAAACTCATTCCGGAAGTCAATGTTATAAGCCCTGAAGTCGGAGCACCCGAATGGAGTATCTGCTGGGACGGGATAGCCAGTTGGGCCAGCGCCGGTCTGGGTAGCGTTGTATGTTGGGCCGACCGCCAAGACGCTGGTATACAAATTGTCGGGGTACGTGGCCGAGTTGGCTGCATTCCAGTATACCTGGACCTCGTTTTGGGGATTTTCATTGTATGTTACGTTGGAGTACACTTCGCCGTTCCAGGGCCGGTCAGACTGGCCTAGGAGAGTAACAGGACCGGAGCGGGTGACGTTGATCTGCTCTGTGTAAATACCAGCGCCGATGAGTATTACGTATGGAGTCGTATCGTTGGGGAGTGAATGAACGGCATCTTGGATGGTGGGAAAGTCTGCTGTTGCATCCTCATTGCTCACATAGATGGTGCCCTCAGGGCAACCATCCAGCGGGTTGTCTGTTTTCTTTTGGCAGTCTTTGTAGGCAACCGAGGGTCTCTTCTCAGCCGCGAGTACTAGGGACGCAACATAGGAGAGCTGAATGCTCCATCTGAGGAGAGAAGGCATGGCGATTTAGTCTACTTGGACTGGAAGTCTTGGCTGAATACCCATTAAGGATACCAATGGCCATTTTCACGGCATATATATTAGAAGAGTCTATTAGACGTCCCAATCGGCCAAATTTCCCAGGATATTTGGAGAGCGTACGTAGTTTGACGAACAGAGCATACTAGGCTCGGATTTAGGCTATGATGCGACCCCAGTCTCGTAGGTCTGGACTGCCCCGCCATCATCTCGTCGGTTATTACGGCACTTATATGGATTTTCTCCCATCCTTAAGAGTTCTATGAATTGTATTGATGGTTCAATGCGATCTAGGGACAAAAATTGTTGGGAAATATGGCTGTACCATATTATGGTCCAATACACTCTCTTGCTAAACGTGAAGAAGCCTCTAGCATTACCACAGAATATCAGAGTAAAGGTAGGAATACATCAAGCGCATCCACTGGTTGAGGAATCAAATGAGGCGAATCGAGCCCAATGCCCCGGGTCGTGGCAAGTGGGGATGAGATGTGAAAGATCGTTGGAGGAAGAATTTTTTGCCGTTGCAGGTCCAGTAGAGAATACCAGGATAATACTACCGACCACCTGCAAGGGTACGGAGTATCTTGTACATCTCATCGTCTATTTCCCCGGAAAAACAAAGTCAAATAATCCCCTGATTTTATTAGGGTTAGCTTATTTCAGAGGAATTAACGACCAAGGCCCATCTGGCTCAATATTGGCTTAAGGATGGTCTTGCTTTCATTTAGGAGTCTTGGTGGCCAATATGCTGAAGCGTAGCTAATCCTTGAGCAAATACACAGGATGAAATCCTATGAGGAGGGCAGTGGCAAGCGCAATCAGGATTCCATCCAATCCAATAAACAGTGGCTCGTTCTGGGCAAGCCCGCTGTCAAGCCCATTCGATAGTTCTGCAACTCGGTATGCAGACCTGATCAGGACGAGAATGCAAGAAGTTGCTAGTGAGTAAATGAACATTGAAAGACGCATGCTCTTTGTCCACGCTGTAGGTTCATTGGACTTGGCCTCGGACAATCTTGTACTTTTAGTTTGCCCAAGCAGAATGGCCGAGAACAACACAAGAAAAACTGTGAGTGAGACAACTTGGAGAACGAGACCGACGATGGTGATGATGACACCGGAGGGCTTCCCGTCCTTATACTTGGCGGCCTCTTCGGGAGTTGAAGTCTGGGAGGTAGTCAGAGCACCCCCAGTTGCTTGCACGGCCAAAATGATAACGTCGCAAGGTATGAAGATGCGAGGATACAGATTGGGTCTTATGTTGAGATAACCTCTCCCCATCTTTTGTGCGAGCTGACCAATACTTATATAGATCCTTTTTTCTAGTTTAGTTTGAGTTCGGTGGAGGAGAAGAGTTGGTATAAGTCCTTACGCGGCGGTTATGAAAACAGGGGCGATCGTCAGGAGAGCGTACTGGATTGTGAAGCCATCCAGGGCAAAAGGGTTCGAATATCCTTTGATGCGCTCTGCATATCCAACCAGTTCCAAAATACTTCCTAGTATAATGCAAATATTGTAACTGAGCCACTCTCTTCTCCGTCGTATGATGATGATAGCCGCCGTGCTGATGACCAAAGAGTAGATGGCCGTGAGAAAGATGTTGGCGCCTAAGTTTGGTCGATAGCCATATAAAGAGAGCTCGACGGCGCAGCTTTCGATCGAGCAGTCACCGGTGCTCGACATGATGCTGTTGGATCTAATGTGTGATGTCTATTGTTTAAAGGAAAGGAGATAGATAAAGCTGTTGAAAAGAAGTAAATTCTCAATAAACCAAAACTCGAAGAGCATGGGAATTACGTTTATATCTATTTTGACCTGGACGGTATTAAATTGATCTAAAGTTACCACTGGACATTTTGGGTCTGCTTGTGATCTGCCTATCTACCTTGCTTAGGAACCGCCGGAAGGCTAGTTCGGAACGCTACCAATAGAATGGTTCAACGACGCTGACTGACCAAGCTACAGGAGGCACGAGGATGGTATGTCAGCAGCGCACGGCTCAGACAGCGACATAAGCTACAATTAGGACGACCCGCAAGTCTTCAACTCCGTCCGGTTGGCCAGGGGGTTGGTTCTCTCTTATGTCTAACTCCGTCCTGATCACAACGCTCCCAGATGACAACCCATTCAACACCGTCCGACAGGTACAGGCTCCGACGTGCGATCTAGGTGCAAACAATGTCCGGTCTTGGCGCGCAGAACTCCGACCCTCCGGAAAGCCGTGGTGGTGCGGGCCAGAGCGAGGACGGCAATGGACACATGGCCGCCATGTCCTTCTATGGGCGCGCTTGTACGAACTGCTACGCTGTGAAATGCAGATGCGACTTTCCGACTGAAGGTGGAAGTTGCCTGCGGTGAGTTTCCTGTTTATGAGTCGCCTAATTCGTCGAATGTGATGTGAGGAACCAAGACTGAGTCTTAGAAACTTATTGATAGATGCCGCCGCTTGAATAAGGAATGCCGGCCAACTGTGCCAGTCCGAAGGCGCCGTGTACAGAGAGAGTCGCGATCTAGGACAGCCAGGCTTGAAAGGCAGTTGGGTGAGCTGATGGCTTTGGTTGGTACTACCAACAGGACAGATTCTGGGGAGAGCCCAGACCTTGCAACTTCTACCGCTGCTGCTTCCGTGTGTTCTCAAACTCGCAACTCCACACCCATCTCTCACACGCCCGGCTCAGTCGGGATACCAGATGGCTCTGGTATACAGCACCCAACCAATTCTATCCCTAGCATTAGTGACGATGACCAAGTTATCTACCTCTCTGATAAGGAATGGGAAAAAAGCCTCACATTCTTTCAGCTCTCTATACTACACGGTTTTCCATTCATCTACATAGCCCAGGGTGTTGACGCAGCACAATTTCGTCGCCAATACCCCATGGTTAGCCTCTGCATTACCTTCATTGCAAGCTCAGACCTGCAGCGGAAGGTAGCTATGGGCAGGAATATTTCCGAGACGCTCACGAAGAAGATCATCATCCAGAGGCGTGCCAATATTGACCTTCTGCTGGCGTCCATCTGTTTTACAGGATGGTTGGTGACAGTGCTCTCTTCATCTTGGTTGCTAAACAGGCAGCTAATGACGGTGATAGGATCCACCATAATGGAAAACCAGAAATGTTGACGGCCTGGGTACAGCTCACCCTAATAGTCGTATATGATATGAAGCTCAATGTGACTAAGCTGGACTCAATGGTGCTTCGAAGGGCGCTTCTTGCCGCCTTTATTCTGGCATCTATGTAGGTCTAGTCTCTATTTCCCCCGGTTTGTTGAAACTCGACTAATGGGCCAAAAGTGGAAATCAGGATGAGAGCAGTCTGCAAGCTTTGAAATGGACTTCCGTAATGAACGAGTCACTTGCTATGCTCGCTGATACACCGGAGTGCCCGGGAGACAGACTGCTGGCTGCACAAGTCCACTGCCACCTAATTCTTCAATATTTACCACTGGGGGGCAGGTTTTTTGGACAGCCTAGCACTGAAGTTGAACATAGCCCTGCCAGACAAATGTACCAGCAAGAAGCATCGTCACGTCTCCAAAAGGTCAAAACTGCGTTTCAGATGGAGGCAGCTTGCAACCGTACGTCTCTTTCCCAAGCATCCCCATGTGTTAGGGATAGCGCTAATTAGACATAAACAGCCGTCGTGGCTATGACCATTCTTGCGACGGAGCAGGCCATCTTCTTTACAGATGTAAGCACTTTGGGCGACTACCAGCCACCCGAAGTTCAAACGCATATCATCTCAAATTTCCATCGAAGCCTGTTGGCAGTTAGTGGATGGTTTCGCACATTTCTGCCGCTTGGTGCCCACGCCTTCACAACACTCCCAATCGCATCTTTTGTACAGCTCTCGTCAAATGTTGAGACTCTGTTTTCCCTCACTACTTTTGAGAATCCTTTGTGGGATACAGAACTGGTTTCACAGACGGTTGATGTGTTCGCTATCATGGACACGATTGCTCACATGCTCAAGTCAATCCCTGGGATCCTGGGACAATGTGCTGTGCCGAATGCAACACATCCGGGAGAGATGGATGTGATTAATGTAGCAGTAGAGAACATTAGAGGGCAGAAGAAGGGTTGGGAGTCCGTTGCAGCCGAGAAGCGAGCACTACGGACTTTACTTGACGAGGTATGGGGCCACGATTTGCCGTTCAATGTTCTGGATTTTGAAGGACTTCAACCATTAGGCCCAGAGTCAAAATAGCCTTGGCCAGCTCTATATCAATTTCAAGCCTGCTTCATAAACCATTTGATAGATGAGATTCATCAATGCCTCTAGCTAAGTTCTCTATGAAAACCTCATATAACTGTAAAGCCTTTCTGAACACCTCTCTCATGGTCGCCGTGCAATGAATTCTCTGCTATACGAAAAGATTGGAGCATGGAAGTCGGGAAGGCCGCTGGAAGTAGCAGTTCACCCTTGTATGTCCTATACTACCGAAGGAGATTCGGCCACAATATCCTGCCGACCCTTCTTTATCAATTCCGTTGCTTGGAGGAAAAAGGAGTCAATCCGCAGAATTACGGGGCGAAGAAGAAGCCTGGCACTCAAATCCTCCGTCCCACCTAGACGCTGCAGAGACTGGTGGAACTTTTCAAGCAGCCTGTACGCAGCTTCTATGTCCTGCGGCTTCGAGGCTAGCAAGAAGAGATAGATGAGAAAGTTTCCACAGAGGATTAGCTGCGACCGCGCATCTGTTTATGAGGACGTGTTAATGTTAGCTGCCATTCAGAGGATAGATGTTGAAAAATACTTACGACGCCCCCAGAAGCCTGTCAAGTCCTCTTCAGTGATCTCATCCATAAAGCATGCAAACGACTTAAAGGATTCCAGAGCAGTGCTGAACCATTTGGATAGGTTTGAGTCGGGATTGGCCTTTGCTTCCCGTGTTGCTGGAGACATCAGCGCCCGGAATAGCAGGACCTGGACGGCAAAGTATGATAGGTTCAGGGGGCCTGGAGAAAGGGTTATCTGTCAGCACTCACAAGGCCCAACTCATATTATGCAATAGCTGTGCCGCTGGCGTACGTACCATTATGAGGATTTTCTCGACCGGATCCCACTGTTAAGCAGTGCGGAACGAGGCTTGGCCATTCCTGCAACCGATCGTAGGCAGTTTGCAGGCAGCATTGTGCTTGTGGCTCAACCATGGTTGGCTTGACTAAGCTGTGAAGGAGGTTAGTCTCGTCCAACATCGTCATGCATCATGTTCAGTCGTTAATGTAGGATTGCATCTGGAATGGGAGACACTTACTAGCTACAATCAAGGATCGTTCGCAAGTTTTGAGCTAGGTTGACTGCTTCCAAACACCGGACGCTGTTAGCGACGCGGAACTGTCTGTCCTCTGGGTTAACGAGGTAGTGCAGATCCTCAGGCACATCTTCGTCGAACCGAAGGTCATCTACAGTCAGAGGCGTTGTGTCGAATGTTGAGGGCCCAATATGGGGTGGGTTACCATGGCACACTGCAGACCAGCAATCTGTAGCAAAGACTGCCCACCAAAGCCTCTTCCTCAGCTTCTTTTCCCACGGGGCAATGTTCCAAGGACCCGGGTCCTGATGAAGACCAATCATTTGCGCGCATGCTGTGGCCTGCGAAGCCATGAACCAAGTAGTGGGCGTTTCCACACTGTCGATATCTGGCGGCGTGATATGCAGCAGTAGGAGACAAGCCTGCAACTTGAACAAGTTAGGTGCCTCCAGTTCACGTCGAAGGGCGGAATGGGCTTCGGCAACGAGCTCGTATTGTTGAAACGGGCAAGGGTCGGTAAGCTGAGGGTCTTGATTCCAGAATACACACGCCAGCGCATACACTGCGCCTCTCAAGGATGCGGGCAATTCCAGTCTGTTATCCGCATATCGGCGAAGAAACCGTACTTTAGAAACGATGGGATACACTGGATGGATGTGCTTGAAGTATAAGCGTACAAGCGCAGGGCCATGAGGCCAAACCTTGGTCTCAATCGTGTCCGAGGCCGCCTTCACTGCGTTATTGGTGTGGTCGGGAAAGCCATTCAGCAGGAGAAGAAAATGAACTGGGTGGCGGCCTACGCCCTGGCCACCATCGTGGACTTGAATGATATTGGCGTCAATCTCGTCCTGCTCGCTAAGAAGGAGAGAACGAAACGCGCTGAGAAAATGGGGGTCCTGTTCGGCAGCGGAACCCATGGAATGTGAGGTTCTATCACCAATATCCTCTAGTGCATGAATTGGCTGGCTTGTGTCTTGTTCGTCAATGGACGAGCCTCGACTAGGCATCGAAGTTGATTTATTCTCCACGGATTCATCTGGCTGAAAGACTGGTGGGAGGTGTGATAGGCCATAGTGAACCACGGCGGGGGATGCGGAGTCTTGCCCTCCAGCACTCGAGGGTGAGGGTGCGACGATATTGGAGAAGACTCCTTCTCCGACACTTAACTGGCCTACTGACTCCACGTCCTCTGGAGACGCGCTGGCAGCAGCAGCATTCGGTACCAAAGGCGATGACAGACATTCTAAGCCTCGGCTCTTGCAGAAGTGACCTACAAGTTGGTGAGTGAGTAGTCGGCATCCAACTTGTCTATCTCTTTGTTTGGATAGAGACAAGATGGCAGATGTCTTGGATGGTGAACTACCCCAGAGACAGCCGGACGGAAATATGGGACTCACAAGGAGGCTTGTCAGTGATCACACAGGCAGTCTTCCGTCGGCGGCATATGTCGCAGGGCCTATTCTTTCGGCTCCGAGGCGCGCGGGCATTGCCAAATTTACTCTGGATCGTGTACCGACGGGCGCCCTGGTGGCTTCCCCGTGGGGCAGAGGATGGCTGTTGCTGATGCTCCATGACAGCCAATCATTCCAGCAGGCCAAGGAAGAGGGCGGCTAATCTTACGTGCCGGCTTCCTGCTACGGGGAAGGATGTGGAGGTGAGAAAGAGGTTCTGCGATCCCTCTGGCTGGTTGAGAAGTTGGCCGAAGCTTCCCCTGATTTTAATGTGGGTTTTTCATACGCGGTTGCCCGAGGCCGGGCAACTACCTCCGTAAATGACGCTGGATCTGGCTACCCTAGATCGATTATATTACTTAAGCATTTATGCTGAGTCAGCTGCGAATTGACATACCCTGTAGCTTTTGACCGACACCTTGCATTGTATCTATCTGGTTCTATGGCCCGATCCCGAGAAAATCTAAAATATATCTCTTTAGAATACTAAAAAAACCTATATATAGTTAGAAAGCAGAACTAACTCTAAAGTACTTGGATTATTTGTGCACCTTTCTAGCATGGAAAAAAAGACGTGAAGGAAGGAGTGGTTGTTGGGTGTACTTGGTTGACTGTGGCTATATAAAAGTAAAATATTTGCTCCTGTGACAAATTGGCACTCTTTGCATGGCTGTTGTTGGTTGCATACATGAAGGAAAGACAGAGTGGGTTGACCGTCTGTATCCCGATGCTTCCAACAAGTTACTTCCTCAACCTGAGTTTTGCGCCTACATTCTTCCACCAGCTCTCGTTCCATCGATGGTCATCTGTGGTTTCGACTTCCTCAAACTGTCGTCGGCCAGTGACCAAATCCACGTCCTCTGGGCGATGCATTTTGGTCTTCTTAACTAATTTCCAGGCGACGACGTTGCCAATAAAAATGACTGTTCCCAAATACTTGAGAATAAATTGATCAACCTTGAAGGTGGGGATGAAAGCATCATATCCTAAGAAGCGCAAGTAATTAGCCAAGATTTAACAATTTAGGCACTAGCTTGCCTCGTGATGCCCCACGAGATACAACTAGAGAGAACAACTTACCGCTAAAAACGAGAACCAAGAGTGAAATAAACAAAGAGTAGTATGCACCATAGGGCTGGAGCCAACCCACAAATGGGAGCGACTCGACGCTGATGCCCTGCGCCTTGATCGCGCGTCGGAAGCCCAGGTAAGAGGTGAGGATAGCGATCCAGTTAAGGATGGCAAAGATGGTGATGAGACTGACGAGGTAATCGAACACTTGGCCGGCATCCTTGCTGGCATTCATGTAGCCCAGAGCAACGAAAACAGAGGAAATGGCAATGGCCCATATCGGAGTGCCGTTCTCGAGCGCCTTGGCGAAGATTTTTGGGGCCTGTCCGTCCTTGGCGAGACCGTAAATGGATCGGGAAGAACAGTAGATGTCTGAACATTGAGACGAGTCAGCACCTATGTGCAATGAACTGAGATTTCGCACTGAGTTTCTTACCGGTACTGGCAGCACTGAATGTGAAAACGAGGAGACTGGCGTTGACAAAATCACCCATGGCCCTGACACCGCCCAGATTAAAGGCAACGACGAACGGAGACGCAGCTATACACATAAATTAGATGCTGTTATGACAATTGAGTTGAGCGAGGAATCATACCTCCGCTTGTGGACTTTTTGGTGGCAGCGAGCAGTTCGGGGTCGTTGTATGGCACGCACATGCCAAGAACAATGACACTAAGGATGTAGAAGACGACAATTCGGTAGAAGGTTTGCTTCACGGCCCTTGGGATATTCTTTCGAGGGTTGGGTGTCTCTCCGAAAGTCATGCCTACGACCTCGGTACCAGTGTACGCGAAGCAAGTCTTCACCATGGCTGCCCACCAGCCGAGGAACTGGCCTTTGGGACCGTCGGCAAGATAGTGTGCGAAAGCACCTGGGTCGTTCCAGTAAGTGAAACCAGTTCGCTTATGGCTGGGTGCGCCACCGAGAGCGACAACCAAGCACCCGACGATGAGGACGGCCATGATGGCGACTTTGGCGATGCTCAGCCAGAATTGCAGCTCGCCAAAATGGCGGACATGGATAACCTAGAAACAGCCATGGTCAGATGGAAATCCTGGCTGCCTGGATTGAGAATACCTGTGTTCCAACTTACGTTGGTGAGGATGACCAGAACGCCGAAGACAGTGACCCAAATGGCCACGTTCAAGTCGGGTCGCCAGTACTGAATAATCAGACCGCAAGCAGTCAAGTTTGCTGGTGTCGACACAATATACTTCAAGAAGTAATTCCAGCCTGTTGCAAATCTATGTTGCGCAAAGCTGTCAGTACGCCTTCATGTCTGCTTAAGAATAAAGGCGAATCATACCCTAGCGCCGGGTCAATCATGCGACTGGCGTAACCACTGAACCCTTTGTTCATAGGCAAGAAGGCGGCCATCTCGCCGAGCGAGGTCATGACGAAGAAGACAGCGGCACCGATGAGGAGGTAG